CAATTACTATATATCAGTGAAGGGATGAGCAGAACGAGAAGGGAGATTTGAGTGGGAGGAGATCAGCAGGAGTTCGTGAGGATGCGCGTTACAATGGACCGTTCGCTGTCACACAGTTTGCACGCGACACTCGCGCTGTAAACAGCGTTATAGCTGGTGGGCTTTCCCCGCACTTTGCATCGGATTAGTGCCGCTTTCACGAATTGACGAGTCTGTCACTGACTGCCGCGCGATTTCAATAACGATAGAATTTCGATCGAGGCCGATTATTCTCAGTTTAAGTAATGCACCGAAGTTTTACCTTAAAAGTTAGGTGTCACCTCGTTAATTTCTACCTGTCAGTCCGCCATGTGGATAGATAGACAGATAGTGATTCCGAGAGAGAAATTTTATTGATTTTTCTGTGACTGATAAAAGTGAAGATTAGAAAAACTTCTATGTGATTTTGACCATCGGGATGAGCCGCCAGGTTCAACGTTTTTACACCAGTCGACCTACCGGTACCGTCTGATATACCGGATTACTCATCTGGGATACGGGTTTGTCGTTCGACATCGAGCTGATTTTTGAAAGCCGATAAAGTAAATTGGCTTGGAGTGCTGGTGTACGACATGTACGTACAACGCGTACACCATAGAACGGAAATTCGATGGCATTCAATTTGCGAAGTTCGAGGCGAATGAGAGCGGGACAAAGCTCAATGATGCGCACGAAAATTGGACACTCTGCGTCCACGAATCGTACTAAAAGGGGATGAAGACCCGAAAATCATTCGATATCGCGATAGCATATAGGTAAGGGGAAAATCGTGGGATCGTTCGATCGCTTTATTATATATACACATATATATAGTAACGAATATAGTCATTTTTCTATGTACTATGTGATTTTATCCCATAATCGTGAACTTCCTCAGATAAGAATTACGCTAAGAACTGTTTATGTTTATCTCAAGCGATGTGTCGCGAAGGCATTAAAAGCACCCCCCCTGCCCTCTTCCCCATTATATTCTCCGATATAAACTAAGTGAAGCTGTTACGGGGCGGAATATGACATCTCGTGCATCGATTTTCCCGACGCTATCAATCTTTGTGATTGATATGACTCGAAGTAAATGGATTAATGGTACGAGCACAGAGTGTACACCTGCAATAAATGAAAAGCAAAACGGAAAGACATATTTAACTGTCAGATGTCTATTAATAGACATCTGACATTTATCGTACGTTTATTCTACGCTTATATCTGGTATAAAAAAAATAAAATCCTTATTAATAAAAATAAAATCCAGGATGTTTCAAAAAAGTATGTACGACAATGTTTGAGAATATGATAAAGAGATGTACCGAATATTTTTTCAAGAGGAACAAATCGGTCTATGACCGAAAGTCTTCGTATTCGATCTTAAAAAGAATTGAACTTTAGAATAGATTTCTGGATCTCATTTTTCTCTCTCTCTGG